CACCCATTAGTGAATGATCTGTAGACGCTGGTTGTCATAATGAGCTTATGTGCATTAGGCATCAGTCATATCCTGTGCACATTTGAAGCCTCTTGTGTGTTCCAGTGCTTTATCTCTTGCAGTAAGTCATATTCAGACAAGCAATGTCAGCCATAATAAGCATGGAAAAAAAATTAATTTGTGTTGAATTTTAAATCAGCACAGTGCATTTATTCACTTTTGTGTTTTTCTTCTGATTTTTATAATTTTTGTCAACCATAGTGTGAGAATTTAATGATCTATTAGTGAACAGAAATTCATTCCATTTAAACATCATTAATTCAAAATGCGTATAAGTGGTATGTACATTAATATGTCTTATACACAACTGAAAAATGGAGGATGAAAAATATTTCTGTGAGTTACAAATCTCTGGCTGTCTTTTTTATGACAAGTGTGACTGATGTAGTAAAAAATGTCTTATTCTGTATAAGTAATCAAAAGATAATGTGGAAAATGGTTGTCCTGTGTAGGAGATATACAGGGAATACAAGAAAATGTGTCCCAAGTAGTTCTGTTAACCTGCAGTTTCATATGGGCTGAAAAAGCCACTAAGTTAATGGATCTATTCATAATGTCGTACTTAAGAATCTTGCTTAACTAATATTGTTAGTTCTGTACATATGTATGTATTACAGTCTCAATAGCAATATTTATTCTTGCCTCAACTTGTTTTGGCTGTACACTACTATCATCAGTTACTATCAATTTTACAAAAATCTTTTCACTGTGTTATTTTTTTATCATCTGAATGTGATGTTAATTTTTAAATATTATTTTATATGCATATTTTTCTAAAAACTTCACTAAAATAATTTAAAATATGTTCACTAAAATGTTGGATCCTGTTGAGCTGAACATATTGCATTCAGTGCCAATATGTAGGAACTGTATATTGTGACATGTTGACCCCTACCTCCCCAGCGGTAACGTAACGCTCGCGTTCTTACGGTAATGGGCGAGTTCGCGCCCCGCCACTCCCCTCCGCGGTGACGTCACCGAGGGATATCGCGGTCGCTAGGCAACGCGAGTCAACAGCGGCGACGTTACGATAGTAACAGCGGTGACCTCCGCTAGCGTTACATAGCAACACAGCGCCAGGCAAAAAGGGTGCCTATTACGTGGCCGTTTTCCCGTACTGTCCGATCGAGGCTACATACGGAGCAGCGAAGGCTATTCACAGTCAGTTCTAGTGTGGCTACCGCAGAGTCGTACTGAGACAGTCAGCGAGTCCTGGAGCTACTGCCGAGTTAGCCAGCAACTAGTCAGTTGTATAGTGGCATTTTTCAGTGTACTAATTGTGATACTGCAGATAGCAGTAATCGTAAATCTGTAATTTGAGTGATTGTATGAGCGAGTGTGAAATAAAATTCGCTACACCGAATACATCGAGAATTTATTTGTCGCGATATACGCCCGATACGCGACAATATATACAGGATGTTTCAAAAAAGCTTGCAACTTTGAAAGCTTATATAAATTTATACAGAGGACATACACAAGATTTCGAACTGTCATAATGTAGCAAAACACACCGAGTTTCATGCACGTGGTACTGTAGTACCCAGTACCGCAACCACGATCGCTCCCACAGTTGAAATCCAGATGGCTACTTTCACAGGTGCAGAGCGTGCTCGTTGTGTGTTTTGGTTCGAAGAAACAAAGTCTGCTACACAAGTTCAAAGGAAATTTTGCACTCAGTATAACAAGGAACCTCCCACTAGGCCTACAATTTACTCCTAGCACAAGAATTTTGTTCAGACCAGATGAACCATGCCAAGCCACCCGGTCAGCCACGTGTTTCTGACGCTACAGTGGAACAGAAGAGAGAGAGCTTCATTCAAAGTCCACGAAAGTCAATGTGATGTGCATCGGGAAACTGGTATTCCAAATGTTACTGTGTGGCGAGTATTACAAAAACGTTTACACTTAAAAGCGTACAAACTATCCATCGTTCAACACCTTACGGATGCAGACAAGGTAAGGTGGTTCATAAGGAATTCTGGATGCAAATGTTTCATCGAATACAAGACGATGAGAAGAGTCTGGACTCCATAATTTTCAGTGATGAGAGCACGTTTCATGTCCACAACTGCAGGATCTGGGGCAGCGAAAATCCATGTGTCTCCCTGGAACATGTTCGTGATAGCCCAAAGGTGAACGTGTTTTGCGCCCTCAGCAAAGAAAGAGTGTACAGCCCCTTCTTCTTCATGGAGATGACCATTACCAGTATCGTATATCTGGACATGCTCCAAGAGTTCCTCATTCCACAGTTAGATGAAGATGACTAAGAAGGACGCATTCACTTCCAGCAAGACGGCGCACCCCCTCATTACCTTGGAGAAGTACGCGAGTACCTCAACACCCGTTTCCCAGGTCGGTGGATTGGTAGAGCGGCGCCGATAGCATGGCCACCTTGTTCCCCAGATCTTACTCCCCTGGATTCTTTCTTATGGGGATTCGTTAAAGATCAAGTGTTCGTACCACCTTTGCCTGCAAATGTCGTTGAGCTCTGAACTCGAATTACTGCCTCAGTTGCAGAAGTGACGCCAGAGATGCTACGTAGCGTGTGGCAAGAGACTGACTACAGGTGGGATGTCTGCCGCATTACCGATGGAACTCACATTGAACCATAACTATCAGAGGTAAAACTCGGTGTATTTTGCTACATTATGACAGTTCAAAACGTTGTGTATGTCCTCTGTATAAATTTATATAAGCTTTCAAAGTTGTAAAGCTCTTCATGAAACACCCTGTATTATGGTGACCTATGTGTGGGGGTACCAATGTACTCTTAATGTATGGGTGTTATGTATGTTGCTGTGGCTTGCATGTGTAGATACCAACTCCCACTGAGCTTGTTCCATTGTTACAATGCCTGATGTGTGTTGGAATAATCGCTACACACATTATGCATGCCTTCATAGTGTGGTACATGAGCACAGAGGAAGCCGTATCTTCCTCTTTTATATTCAACCGTGAGGTTTATGGGTTTTGAGGAATAACAGGATAATTATGAATGTAGGATACTGTACTATAATTTAGATAGCATTCAGAAGAATGGATATAGGAAAGGACTCATTTTCAGAAGATGACTCAATGTAAACAAGACTCCTGTTAAAAAAAATAGCATGCTACAATTCTGTTACAACTATGCTAGGTCAACAAACTGTGGCAGAGCTAAAGTTCTACTAACACAAGCCTATAACAAAAGGAAGTTTCATTGTTTCAAAGACATATTATTATAAATTTCAGAAGGTATGTTTTGTTCCGAACACAAATTACCTATAAATAGCTATCTATCTAAAATTATAATTTACATCAATAAATTTAAATCATTTACCTTTAGTGAATCACTTTTGGTTCTCTATTGCCATATCATAAATGAAACAGTTATACACTGGCTTCTCATTGCAGAGGTCTGAGTTTATCCTGAATAATATCATGTAAGATTCCTGGCAAAGAAAGTGACACTGGAGAAACTCCAAGTTTCTCTGACTTTATCCTGAAAATTTTCATTCTGCCAATGCTCCTTACTTATCCATTACCACCCCCTGAGGTTTGTGAAAGCTCTGACCAGAAAGCATATTATCATATTCTTCAGCTTTCATAACAGAGTAAGGAAGCCGAAATTACATGCATCATTAAGTTCTGTTTACAGTAAATGGGCCATATGAAATACTGCCATGAGCTATACAGATATTTCAACAGGTGGATTGAATCTTGTAACTAGCTACAAGCTACAAAGAGGAAAAGAAAGTGGAATTAAATGCAGGTAATAAAAGGCAATAACTCCCCAAATAACTTAAAAATATATAAAATGAAAAATATATTCATACTTTCATTCTTGTGGAATTATTTTATAAATTAAATAACTCACATTTTAAGCAACAATTTTAATTAATCAGACAGCTCCATGCAGCAGTGCCTTTCTTTAGAAGGTAACAGTCTCTAAGCTACTCAAGAGATTCCTTGCCTTACAAGAAACTAAAAAATTCAGTATTGCATTCATGAGAGCCCATGATTTATCCCCATCCAGGGCCACATAAATCCAGTCCAGTTCCTCATTACCCATTTTTATAAGATACATTTCAGCCCATATGTCTTCCTGACATAGTGCTTATCTAATTAAGCACAGGGACAACTTTACCTTTTTACATTTTAATGTTATATCCCATCTGTATGTATATCTCTGAAGTGGTCTTGTCCCTTCAGGATTTTTACTAACATTTTGTATGCTTTCCTCATTTCCTTCATGCATCACTCACACCCCATCTACCTTATGCTCTGTAATTTGGTCACCCTATTAATGTTTGACAAAAAGTAGAAATTCTGAAACTTTTCATTATGCAGTATTCTACATTCTCCTACCACTTCCTCCCTCATAGATCTAAATATTCCTCTCAGAACCTGTTTTTACATGAATATATAAGTTGGATTTCTTCTAATTTGGCTTTCATACAATGATAATTTAAGACAAACAATGAGCATTCACATGACCAATGATCACATCAAAGAGTACTGCAGCCTTTTTGTCTGATGAGACTGTTCCTACATTATTACACTCACCACTTTTATTAAGAGTCTTATGGAGACAGATCTGTGCACTGATTAGTGTAACGTTTAAGTCATGACTTCTTGCAGTATCTGCTAGGAAGGACTCATGAAAAGTATAAGCCCAGATCGGGGTAACATGTCTTGTTTGCAAAGGTTACTTGAAATGCTCTATTTGGATACATTTGAAATCCCATCATTAGATTAAATCCAGAAGTTAAAATAAATGTTTTAAATTCTTAAAATCTCAATGCTTGCATCATGACAAAAATTATACCTATGTCGTTACAGCTTCAGGGGAGCTTGGCTGGACAGTTGTTTCAAAACAGAGGAAAAGAAGAGAGCTATGTAACTGCTGTCATTGACGTGCGGTGATGAATGCTGACGTGGGTCACATGGTACAGTACCTGTAGCAAACAGCCATTAGTGTAAAGCAAATGAAGACGCATTTCACCACAACCACCAGAATAACAACCATAGTGAATGTGCCAAGGTTGTTATTGTTGACATCTAGAATGGAAATGCGTGAGATAATTTATCATTATTACTTCAAGCAAAAAAGAGTACACTATGTAAAACAATGTGTGAAATGTCTCCACTGTCAGATTTATGTCATTACAGATGACAAACTTAAATGTTACAGCCAAAATTATGATTCCACAAATAAAATAAATAATATAATGAGGTTATACGTGCATTTCTAGTTTTATGAATATTCTGAATAAGAGTTCTCAAATGGTTTCTGCTCCCATACTGGAAGTCCCTTTGAACAAATGTAGAACCAGTAGTACGACTTACAAAATTGAAGGTGAAGGATTTCCAGATGGAGATGACAATGAGTTAGGATGATAAAGATAGATCACCTGCACCATCAAGGGAAGTAAAATTACGTCTATCAGAATTATTATCTTTTATACATAATTGGTTAAATGAAACTATATTTTAAATTGAATTAAATTTATTGTCTTGAAAGCTTTTGTTTATGTATAGGACAGTCTATATCATTATACAACAGCCCAGAAATTCTGGTTTCAAAGAGCATTTAGTACATCTCTGAATTGTCTATAAGTTCACTTAATGTACTCCTACACAAATGCAGAGTTGTATTCAAAATGTTCCCTGAAATCTATAATTTCTAGACCCATGTGCATTTATCTGAATGTCCTGTGTATCAATGAGGCTTTTCAGGACTGTGACTTGCGCTAAGTTATATTTTCTCACAAATAATGTTCTTCCAACTGCCAGTGTCTTTTTACTCAAAATAGAAACCAATATTTCGTTTGTATATTTGTATATGATAAAATATTTTACCAACAGCAGATATTAATATAAACTGAACTTTAACTTCTACACTGTTCTAATACAGCAAAATGAGGTCCATGGAAATCTTAATATGTTCAAATCACTGAACTGATCCCGATCACCAGGGTATCAAGTTCATGCTATCATGGGTTATCTTGATGTTACATTATTCAATTTCTGTTCATCAACGAAATTTTTGGGATGGGAATAGAATTGTTACATTCATTGTAAGGTTGCGACTTTTAAAATAATTCTCACCACGTAAACAGAGTAATAATTTGGCAGCTTGGTGATATGAAGATTTGTTTTTTCTTTTTTTTTGTTGTTGATTCTTCACAGATATCTGTAATTAGGCAAAATAAGTCTGGCGGTAAAAACATTTTATAATGCTATCTAGATGTGCTGTATATATTTTATATATAAGAAAGTATAAAAATGGCAGCAGAATAACTCTATTTATACGTTCCAGATATTAATAAAAATTCAATATTTATGTTGCTGTTACTCACGTGCCAATGATTTTTAGCTAACTCTGATGTCATAAATTAAAAATCAACATCAAGTGTGGAATATTAATTGCATCTTGTCAGTTAAGTTCTGTAATAATGACTTGGTCTCACTCAAGCAGTCTATATGTATTATTTCACATAAAGAAGCTTTCAATTTTCATATTTGTGTAACACTAGCTAAGATGAATGTTGTAAGAATAATGAAGTGACAAAACTTAAAATATATATTTGTACTATTTATGGAAGTAAATCTGGAAGAAAACAATATGAGAATGTGAAGATCAAGCACTTATTGTATATCTGTCACTTTTGATGTTCATATTTGTAGTTCACAAGGTTACTTATCTAATACATTGATTACTTGTTCAAATAATATGGTAGCATATCCAAGAAATTGCTATTGGAATTTAATAAAGAAGTTTGGAACTCCCAACTTCATCCTTCACTGGACAAGCAACATTTCAACACAGTTTGAAATGTCATTAGAGAAAAGATTTTAGTCATTTTTAGTCTTCCACTGCAAATGCATTAATATATATATGAAAAATAACTATTTTCCACATTTATTTTCATTTTATTCAGGTTATATAAAAAATAATGAAACTTGAACAAGTAACCAAAAAAACTGCATACATTACAAATAATGAAAAGAAAATCAGACAATGTTACATCTACATTTTCTTAATAGGATTCAGCCGTTTTAAGGGACACTGATGCAATACCAATCAACATGACAGCACAATCATAACGTTTCCACTGAAAAACAAAATACAATTAGTGGATAAGGTCAACAAAATTCTGAACTACATAATTTAGTCTGTCACAATTGCCTGATGTAATTCATCCTGAAACTGAATGCATTCAGTTAGATGATTTAATGAAAAATGATTACTATCTGTCATCATAAGAATTAACAAAAATGTTGTATCTAAAATGCTGACAGACAGAAATAGGAGTATATTATATACTTTCTTCTATATAACACCACATTAATAGGGTTTAAATATGTATTAATACACCCACAATCATTCTTAAATTCTGACATCCCACAATAATTCAGAAAGGATTTCCCATTTTATATGGCCATAACAAAATTACTGACAAAATTCAATGGAAGAACATATAATGTAATTGCCACTTCATGTCCTTGTGTTCTGCTATACCTCTGGTGAAGGGTACACAGAGAAGGAACTTCATATTATTACTGACTGAACAGAAAGTGAGGCAATTAAAAGACACATGTGCTCACTGTACCAGCTAAAAGTACCAGTGTGAAGTCTGTAAAGTTCCATTTATTACTGTCATTGCATGTAGCTCAACAGCAGAATGGCCAAAGTCAAATAGTTCTACCCATCACTTGATAGGAATGCCTCTGGGTAGATGGTAAAATCTGGATGCACTCACAGTGAAGGGATGGGCACAAGTAGGTGACTAAGTTCTGTTGAAAACCCAGTATTTTGGAGTCTCCTTATACAGGGTTTTATGTGAAGGGTATAACAGTTACAAAAGCAGCAAGGACGTGGGTATAACTCAACATATCAGTGCAATAAATGACTCTTTTGATTAATTAGTTAATTAACTTTGTCTGTGGAGGAAGTTCCTTCTTCAAATTAATACCACAGGAAGAATTTCAGATGTGTTCATAAATTTTAATTAAGAATAAAATCTGTCCAACAAGTTACAATAGTGGTAAGATAAAAAAATTATGGAAAGAAACTAGTCATGAGACTATGCTCGGCCAGTTTGTAGTTTTCAATCCTATTTCATCAGATAATCTGAATAAATTGTCCCCAGAATTTTATGTTAAAAAATTGTGTTCATGCTGCACTTTTGAAAATGATCATCTGAAATTATCACTGTACACTTGACATACAAATACTCGTACTTGTGTTTACATATTCGCTAACTAGTTGAGCCTCATACTTCACTCATTATATATAATAATAAGTGCAGAATTATTAATTTACTCTCATAATTGTTACTCTTATTAATGTTGTTATTGTTGTCACCATGATCATAAACATAATAGGTCATATTTTCACCATTATCACAACTGTCCCTTCAGTACTACTAAAATTCCACAAGCGTAGTACCATAAATCAAGGGGACTGGACATTTAGGTAGTTCTTTCCACATTTATGTGCATAAAATAAGGCAATTCTTGGGAATTCCACAGCTGGAAGCTTGAATGCTATGCGTGTATGTTGCACTAGTAAATGAAGTTTTCTCGTATCCATTACAACTAATCTTATTAACATTATAATGTAAAATCCAAAAGCATTCATCAAACACCTAGATACTAGCTTTTTATCAGTATTTGAGTCATTCAAGTATAATTTCAGGAATATGAAGATCACTTAAGGTGCAAAATGATGTTGAATATTACTGCAGATTTTTGATGGATTAAAATGACTCCAGATTCAAATCACATTAGCATTTCTAATAACCTGATGAAAAAATTAGGCTGCTTATTTCAGGACGGCAAGTGAAAGGATTAGTGATATAATATATGACTGCTTTTGTTACCTTCCACTCATATTTTTATAGATAGCAATGTTTGCACTACATACCGTAGGGGGTTTCTTTCTTCACCACTTTCGTTGCCTCGCTGGTGGCAATAGCTGAGCTGGCAGTTGTATACTGAGGGGGTAAAGTCACTTCTATTTGGATGGAACAATCTGGACCACTCCACCCAACCTCACAATAGCATTTGTTTATGTTGGAGCATACCTGTTACATACAACATAATATTACTCTGTTATATTCTAGCATAGCATTTTTATATTAATTTTATAATATTTGGGTTCTGATAACAGGGACTCCTTTGTTACGTCATTGGCTCTCTGCATTGTCATGTGTTACAGAATGAAAGGTGTAAATAACAGAGTGTCATGCAGACCTCTATTACTAGAATTGAAGATTTTAACTATTACGTCCTTGTACATCATAGAGGTGTTGTGTTATTTTAAGAGATATAATATATACACTACGAGAAATACTGATTTATACGAGTATAATACTAGGAGGAAAGATGATCTTCATGTACAACAATGTAACACATCAGTTTTTAAGAAAAGTGTTATTAATGTGGGCATTAAATTATATAATATACTTCCTTTGGAAGTTAAAAAGTCAAAGGGATGTAATGAATTTAAACATAAATTAAAATTATTTTTATTTGATCGTCCTTTCTATACATTGAATGAGTTTCTTCAACAGGGACATGAGGAAGCATAGCAAGGTTTTTTTTAATTAACAAAAAAAGAGAAGAAAAGGGAATTGAAGTAGTTATTGTTATATTTTTAAAATTCTTAGTGATGTTGTAAGGCAAGTACAGTTTTATTTTTAGTCTAATACATTCTAGGATTATAGAGCTTTTAACAATGATGTATTTAGTGAGTTGACTTGTTCAAGTGTTGCAGTTGTAACAGTATGAATGCAAATAAATATGAATATGAATGGTTCCATAAATGTTATTTGTGTACATAGCTGTTGGGGATTGGTACTTGATGCTGAGTAGCTCACATCCTCCTCTGACATTTCTGACTTGAGGTGTCACATTACAATACCTTTAGTAGCTTCCACTAAGGTACACTGATGTGATAAAGGTTAAGAAAGATTACTGTCTACTGGGGTGCAGTCATTATGTAGTTCGGTATCAATGTTCCTAAAAATGTTTTTATCTATTAAACATAATTGTTCTTCATGACTTTATGGAATAAAGAGAAATACACACTGATACAAAATAAATGCAGTATACACTTGATTACACATTTGTGGATTATCTGGTTCTGGCTTATCTATGCACCTTGCAACTCTATAAAATATCTATTAAGTTCACCAAGCCAGTCCACCTATCTCTTTGTATAAAAGAAATAACTCTAGAACTACCAGATAAATTTTCATAATATTTAGTAATCGAAAATTAATGTTGAAGCACTTCAATATTTATTTAGATAAAACAAAATTTTAATTTTCACTTACACTAAACACTTACATGTGTTTCTGCACATATCTCAAGCTAAATATTTATTGCAGTGGAAAGTGTTTTAAACAGAGATTGTGAAGAGAAATGAAACACACAACTTATGTTCAGTACAGTTTTCCGTAAGTCTTGTGTTTTTTAGGAATTGGGATAGATCACTTGGTATAGCGTTGGGCTATGGTCTGGATGGCCTGGATTTGATTCCTGGCAGATTCTTCTCTTCTCAATAGCATCCAGACAGACTCTGGGCCCACCTACTCTCCTATCCAATGGGTACTGGGGGCTCTTTCCCCAGGGCAAAGTGGCAGGGGTGTGAAGCTGACCACTCACTTCCATCTAGTACCAATCAAAAATGGTGGAGCAATACCTCCACTCCCCCATATGCCTTCATTGTATAGTGCTTAACTACTCAAGAACAGGGACAATTTTACTTTTGCCTAAGCTTAAAATGTGCATACCTTTCCATATTTCCACAATGAGCGATCACCATGCTCTTCTGAGCACACACCAAACTTGGGTCTATCTGGGTTATTTGATTTTACAAGCCTCCTTTCCCTTTTCTTACCATGGAAAACAGAAATATATTGCAGCTATTTTCAACAGGAAGAAAGTGGTTGGATATCAAGTAGATCATTTACTCACCCCATGTCCAGAACACTCCAGATTGTTGTGATTGCTTGGACACTTTGCCTGGTCAATGTGTGGGAAGATGCTGGTGCAGGACTGATTAACACATATCTGCCAAAGTAATATCAGTATATTATATTATTGTTTGAAACATTTTAAACTATTAATTTGTAACAGTGTTACTTAACCCACTTGCGCCCATAAACATACCTATACACCACCCTCATGTATCTGATCATGATCACTGCAAGTGTGATGGTACACAAAATGCAAATGACTGGTTAAAGTGGTTTCCAGTGTCATCTATGTACAATGTTGTGAACCAGTACTGTTTCACAGTTTGTCTAGGCTTCTAGTGATGTCCAAAGATTAGTCACACTGCTGTTTCATAATTCACTGACAAGGAATATGGATACTTATCATTAGCAAATTTCAGAAGATAAGTCAGATATTCTACATTTTATGTGCATAAATTCAGTGTTCACTTTATCTAAGGCAAAGCATCACATATTAATTTCTGGTAAAGATGAAAGCATATGTAATTGAATGTATGTCTTTGTTTCTGATTTCATGTCTAGTGATGATGAGGAATGTGTCAGTTCACTGCTGTATGGAGTGAGAAGTAGGTGGCTTCCCTGACCAGATTGATTGCAGAGTAGGTGATTGAGGATGTGTTAATGATATTGTATACCAGCAGAGTGACTGAAGAGCCAAACAACCTATTTGTAAACCAAAAATTTCAAATGAATTTTAGTTCATTTAAAAAATTTCAAACATGTTTATATTATCATTATTTATTCCAAGTGATAATTTGTCTGTATATCTATAGCTTGATAAATTTTGTCTGAACAGCTGAGGCATGAGGATGTCTTCATCACAAGCACAATACACTGTTGCTAATATTTAGAAATTACTCAGCCTGCCAGATTGAATTCAAGTATGAATTTCTTGATTCTCCTGTGTTCGATATATAAATTATAATGCCAATGAAAGTTTCAGAGGAAACTTGTTTAGAAAAGTTGGGTATAAGATGGAAGTGCACACAAGTAAAAACAGATTTTGAAACTTTGTCCTTACTGTATACACATCACACAAGAACTAAGGAACTTGAAAAAGGAAGAAGACTTCAATACTATCAGCAGTTTGAAATATAATTCTGGATGATGAAATCATTCTGAACAATGTGTATTTATATTTGAGGCTTGGTTCAGTAACAGGGGATTTGTCACTAAGTGTGAGGTGCTGAAAATCATCACATTTTCAAATAATAGCTGTTACACTCATTACGAGTTAATGTTACCAAAAATTGACCAGGCAGTTAATTTCTCTTCTGGAAGTAAAGAAAGGACAGCAAGTCCACTGGATCCAAATGAAGAAAGCAACAGCAAACTCAAAAATGGAAATGTTACAAGAATTTTTAGAGGAAATTGTATCTACAGCTGGGTGTGAAACTTGGTCTCTGACATTAAGGGAGGAACATAGGCTGAGGGTGTTTGAGAACAGGGTGTTGAGGGAAATATTTGGACCCAAGAGAGATGAAATGACAGGAGGTTGGAGAAAACTGCATAGTGAGGAGCTTCATAACTTGTACTCTTCTCCACGTATAATTAGAGTGATCAAGTCAAGGAAGATGTGGTGGGCAGGGCATGTAGCACGAATGGGGGAGATGAGGAATGCATATAGGATAGTGGTGGGAAAGCCAGAAGGAAAGAGACCACTGGGAAGACCAAGGAATAAGTGGGTGGACAATATTAAAATGGATCTTAGAGAGAGAGGATGGCATGGTATGGACTGGATTGATCTGGCTCAGGATAGGAACCAGTGGAGGGCTCTTGTGAACAAGGTAATGAACCTTCAGGTTCCATAAAATGCTGGGAAGTTCTTGAGTAGATGCAGAATTGGCAGCTCCTCCAGAAAGGCTCAGCTCCATGAGTGAATAAGTAAGTAAGTAAGTAAGTAAGTAAGTTGTAACTTCACTTTATTTCTGATTCACAGCATTCTGAACAAGAAGAGCATATCATGCAACAAGTTGCAAAAATGGAAAAAAAGAACATTTTAGAAATGAATGTGGAGGAATTAGTGGACTCGCATTCCACTGAAGTGTCACGTGATGAGCTAAGAGAAATGCAGAAAGAAAGAAAGAAAGAAAGAAAGAAAGAAAGAAAGAAAGGTCTCATATTCAGACAAATTAATAGCCCAAGAAGTTTTTATCAATTCCCAAGAAAGGCTTTCTCCAGGGAACTAGTTAATTAATTTAGTGATCTTGTTGGCTATGTACAATGTATTGGTGGAAAACTGTTGGTTCGGAAATCATTAGAAATTTTATAAATACCAAATGGGTTTCTATTTGAATTAAACACTGACATGGTAAATGAATTTTCTTAAAAGAAATTAAATGAGTACTGCGTTGTAAGTTTATTCTTATATATTACACACATAAGTGGTTCAAACATGACCTGAAGTTTTCATTGTTTCTCATAAATGAAAATGTGGATCAATGTAATTTCTTCACATTCATTTTATATGTCCTGCCTTACAAACAAACCACACTTATATGCACTTGGTTGTATTACATGGTATCTGTACAAGTCAGCAAGATAGAACAGCTATGAGTAATGAATTATCAGAACTAACACTATTCAGTGAAGACTCAGCAGTCTAATTCAGGGATGCTGCACTGTTAAATGCGCAGGGTGTGCATGTTGCACTAGGAGAGTGTGGCACAGTCAGAGATCACAGCTCCACATACCGATCATTGACATCAGAAACAACAAAGTTGAAAAGTTTATTCTTGACACAAGACATGTTCCTATTCATGACATCGTACATGAAAACACAAGTGTTGTTATTGTAGTGGCAATTATTATGAGTATATGTGCTTTAATAAAGTGAGTGCAAGATGGGTTCCAAAGGTGCCAAGTCAAATATGAACCACCTTACAATGTTACTGCAACATTACATACCAAATTGTCTCCACAAGGTGTACCATCTCTAACCAGGCCCATATCTGGATTTCCGGATGAATCTATTGTTCCGCTTGTCGCCCTAGAGGTAGCATGTCAACAAAGACAATGCAAGGTATACTAACAGGCAAAGAGAACTGGAGATTTTATAATATAGGTAAATGTTTTATCAAGACAGAGAAAAGCCTATTATTCATTTATAAAGTTTTTTCTTCGTTCTAATATATTAAACTATTGGTTTTATGGATTTTCAGTGATAGAGCTAAATGAAAACATTACTGATCACACATCATTTGATAAAATAAACAATACACACACATACACAGGAGTCATATAGAAAATCTTGAACACAAACAGCAGAGTAATTACTATGACTAGTTTTTCAATAAAAAGCAATAATGATAGAAATAAAGGGTTTGACTAGAAAGTTCTGGGAATGACTTTGTGAGTGAGTTAGAAAACAGCCTACCAATTAATTGATATTGTCTTCTTTAGAGCAGTTTCCTTTGGCAGCTAAATACATGAAACTGTTCCTTTTTTCAACTTTAACATGAATACCCAGAACACATATTTTCATATCACAACTAGGGCATGGCACACACTACTAGACCTCCTGTAGTAACCCAAAATGTGTCCCTTTCAGCAAAGATTTTATAGTTGGGAACAGAAAGAATTCTCACCTAGCCAGACTGGAAGAATAGGATGGATGTAACATCAGAAAGATCTGTTCTTGGGTCAGAAACTGCCTCAGCGATACTTCAGTGTGAAACAATGCATTGTACCATCTTAGAAACAACCCATTTCGTTTTAGATTTAATTATGAAAAAAGATAGAGGCAGACAGACAGAGAGAGAGTAATCTTCATATTTACCGCTGTGAGCACCCATATATTACATAATGCAAGCCTAATCCCAAAAGTTCAAGACAAGATATGTGTGTATGAAAATTTGCAACCAAATTTTACCAGAATTAAAGTTGCAACCTTCCAAACAAGAGTCTGGTGTCTTATTACAATGTTGGTAGCCCTTCACATACCACATACATTATGGAAATACATAACAATCAATGTAGTCAATTTCTTGATGATGTATAATTCTCAGTAAATTATATGTTATTGTCACAGACTGTCTAGAAATGTATTATGAAAGACACGGACCCATTTACATCTTTGTTTAACAAGTAGGTACCATTATGTGTTTTGAGATACAGTCACTATAAAAATAAACAAAAGAATATGAATATGATCAAATATTACAAAGTCTGAATCTGTTTCCACTGCACATCCTAGAAGATGGCATTCTTCATCGTCACCACCGTGAAAACCTCAAATCTCATATATTTGACACCATGTCTGTCAGAGAACATGCAATGCCGATATGGACAGATGGCAAATAATACGTTTTTTTTAACTGTAGAAAAAAATATAAATAGGAAAGAGGCCTAGGCAATGCCCATCCGGCCTTCTGTAGCACATTCTAATAAACATCTTATTCTACAATAGTGGTAGCCCCACAATTTTTACTATAGATCTTGACTTAAATCTGTGTGTATACCGTATATAATCAGTACAATTACATCTTTTATTTTTCTTACATATCTATTTTATATAAATATAGGAATGTTGTTTCTGATGTAACAGACGCCTTGCAGAAATCTTTTTTCTTCTAGCCTTAAGAGCTCTGTAACTGAGTTTGGGTAATGCTTTTTGCTGTTCTCAGATGAGATGTCCATCACTGTTGCCCTTTGGTCCTTGTACAGTTTGCAGCCCATTGCCACAGTCACATATGGCCATGGAGACAATGTTAAATCTGTTTAGGATTACTTTAAGACTGGTGTGTCTCACTGTCATACGGTTTATTGACATGAAGGCGTGGTGTTCATTTTTATCTGTCGGAACCACAGAGATGTGGCTTTCCTGTAGTACCTTTCAAAGTAGCTTTCTCCTCTGTCCCGTTTGGTGTTTTGACAAAAACTGAGAAGTTCTTCTTTGCCTTTCTTTTTCCACTGGGTTTTAAGATCTGCTACTGGTAATAGTAATTAACTATCTCTGCCTTCTTTGATTGCTTGCTTTGCCTCCAAGTCGGCCCTCTCATTAACGTCAACTCTGCAGTGCCCCAGGATCAAGTAAAATTTGATTTTTTTCCTCGCAATTCCAGTCTCTCTATTTTATCTTTCAGCGTATGTGTAACGTGTGATGTGTTGCTTATTATAATGGAGTTACTAATGCTTTTTAACACACTTGCCGAGTCCGAGAAAACCATGAAGTTTTGCTCTGAGTCTATTTTTTCAATGATATCTATTGTTTCGGCAGCAAATAATATGCTGTATCTCTTACATAGTGCTGCCATCTATATAAAAAATTTAAACTGTTACAATGGTAAAAGTTCCAGTTCTCTAGCTCCTCATACCCAGGAGCTATATGGAACAGAAATCAGAGTACATAATGGTATATCATACTCATTATGTTATCAGTGGACCACTGAATGTGAAAACTTAAGACAGTCCTTCCTCAAGGGCTGGTACTGATTGGCTTTAAGTACCCTGTATGCTAGGAAACTAATTAATACAAGGGCTTGTGTAACTTGAATGTGATATGATGATACTGCATGGAACAAAGAGCAATTATACATTGGTACTGACTGGTCAAGCCACCAAATACTATCATGAGTAACACAGATAAAAATATACAAGGATCATTTTGACCTGTCACTGAATAACAAGACTTGTTAATCAAAACTGTATGGTACATTCAAAGCCTTTTAGAACAAGTCATTAAGTCACTTACTTGCATTCATATTCTACTCCTTTGATTGAAATTATTGTTGTTGCATAGAGCTGCTCCTTCCCAACATTTACTGGGTGTCTGTTTCCCAGTTGGCACTGGAGAGATCCACAGTGTACATTCCTACACACAAAAATTACACAACTTCTACAAATGATTTTATTCAATCCTGCATATTTCCAAGTACAGCTCCTCTAAAAAAAAATAAATACAGTTTATGAATCTAGTACTATGCAGACTTTGTTTTCATACCTATAAACAAGAGCTAATAACACTGACCAATAATCCCTTGAATCTCTTAACTGATGAACTGAATTTCCATAAATTCATATTTTTATTCCTTGAATGTTCATTATAAATTCCCAAATTTGTCTCTTCCAGAAGGCATTCCTGTAGCATTCAAAAGGTAAGTAGACAGAGAACATACAGCCACAAGTACATAACAAGTTTTGTTCTGATAAATCTTCTCTCCCTCCAGGATATACAAAACGGCATTAGATGCACTTTATATTTAAAGTGGTTAAAGGCAGAATAAATATAACAGTATATATTTTGCAATTATCAATTCATTAAGTCAAAAAAAGTAAACACTCCAGAGATTTATGCATAACTTCGTATGAAGGCAATTTATAGTAGTCAAAAACAGGAATTGCATAAATTCCCACATTCTTTCTTTCACCAGTAGCAGTACTATGAACAGCTACAGATACTGAAGTTTCAGAAAACAGATATTTGAGCTCTAACACTACAAGCAACAGTATATTTGTTGTGGTTCATTTTATGATTCTGTCAGTTTCTTAGGCTATATAGTGTCAAACATTATGGTGATTCATAAATAATGAATTGAAAGAGTTTGGAAGAAAACAGCCAGCCTAATTAAGTACTATCTCAGTGTCTGCCAAGAGGGATTGAAGAACATCCTGAAAAACCTTATTCAGAATAGTCAATGTCCTGACCAAGCACCTCCTCCCATATACAGGATGATTCACGAAGTTTTACCCCCACTTAGGGAGGGCATTCCTGAGGTAATTTGAAAAAAAAAAAATGTTAATATACTAATGGTATCCAACTCATATTTGAAGACATACAGTAATTTGAAAACTGGCGAAAAATCTTTTCTTCTTCGAATTTCAGTCCAAACAAATTAGAAATACAATACAAACACTTTAAATCGTTAATGTTTCAGGAAAGAAGCATTCTAAAACCATTTTTTTTTCAATTTCTTAATTTTGCATTGTGCAACATTTCTCATCGATTTTATGTTACAAAATTACATTATTTTCAGCATCCCATTCTGTAAACATACCAATGGATGCATATCACACCCTTCTATCAATCTGTTTCCTTTAAACTGTAGTGCTTTAGAAGACGACTGGATTTACATAAGATTTTCAAAAATTTCTCCCTGTACGTCAACACAACGCGGCGCACTCATATGAACCACGCTCGTAGCATTTCGCAGCTCCACGCGTTTGTTCTTTATTGTCATCGCCTCGTCCAGAATACGTTCAAGCAACGCTTCATGTGTTTGTATATTTACCTGGTACACAATGTCCTTCATCCACCCCCAAATGCAATAAAATGAACAGCCCAATTAGCTGATCATACAGAACACCACACCAGACATTGACACTGAATCGGTGTTGAAAATTCGATTCTGTCGTGGCACGGGGATTATTGTCTGCCCAAACATGTAAGTTGTGACTGTGGTTGACCCCGTCCCATGTAAACTGTGCCTCATCTCAGAACATTATCAAGCAGTACAACTGCCGATTTCCATTTAGCCAATTGCAGAACTGCAGACGAAGAGCACGGTCTCCTGGTTGTAGGTGTTGTACTTGCTGTAAATGATAAGGATGCAGCCCATTCTCATGAAGAGTCCTCCACGCCATGGACTGAGAAACACCGAACCACCGAACTGGACATCTTGTACTGGCACGCAGACTGCGCTCTTCAGCACCGAGAATGTTTTCTTCTTCGCACAATTCATGTTGAGGATTTCGTTTGTATCATATACAAACGCTGGAGAGAGAACCAGTTTATCTTAATGTGTTGAATGTACTGCTAATGGATTTAGGATTTGGAATCCTGCGATTAGGATAATGCCGGTCATATTCGGCAGCAGCAGCTCTTGCATTTCCATCACATACACCCAAAACAAACACCATATCGGCGTATTCCTCAGCGGAAAATATGTACAGCATCTTAACTTCACCAACACAACATCCTATTTATGACTGGAACGCACTGCCTACCTACATGCAACATTCCAGCTGGTCTGTATTATCTGCTGACACAGCTGACTTCAACGCAAGGTCGCCAAGCCGGGGGGGGG